AAATAATCATAAAATCCGTTTGTTATCTCTGAAAAGGAAAATCTTTTAAAATTATTCATCTTTTCATCCGATCCGACTGAAATTTATACGATACCAACGCGAAGGCGTCATCTTATCATCAAAGAGAATTTCATTAAAATCAGTTCCTTATGACAGGAGAAAACATGTAACGTCGTAAATAAATAATCTACGGGCGAATGATGAAACACTTTAATTTTTTGAGCTCTTTAAAATTCATTATTGTGTTTATAGAAATTTGTTATTACATAACATAGATGGTCAGGTTATATTGCACAATATATGAAGATTGCAATTGACACTGAGAATTCATACTAAATCAAAGAGGAAAAGCACTTGGTTTTCAGTTAATCTTATTTAATTTAAAATTATAAAAAATCGAGAACTTCTATATAATCACCTATTTCAAATGCCGTACTTAATTAATATGATGACATTTTTTTTTGTTGACGGAGATCTGGTGCATTTAAGTTAAAGTTACTTTTTACTTACTTATCTTTAACAGTATAATTTAAACACTACCAAATTCCAAATACGCAGAATATTTAAATTAGAGAAAACAAGAGTGTTATATATAATTTTTTTATATTTTTTGATATTATGATTTCAAATACTTCTATTTGAATATTGTCACAGATTATTACTAAATATCTAAATATTAAGTAGATCAGATTGACTGGAAATTTATAAAATGAGCAATCTCTTGCCGTAGGTTATTTGAATCTAAAAAGACAAAAATAATGAGTTAGAAAAAACCCTATCACAGTGATTTAAGTCTTTTTTCGTTCAAAATAAAAATAAACAAAATTGTAGTGTCGCAACAGCAACGATCTTATCTACTGATTAGACGTATCAGAACCAAGGAATGAACGCCGTAGGGAAATATCCGACGGGAATATATTAATCTAACTCTGATAATAATAATAATAATAAAAATAATGATAATAAAGCCATTTATTTCTTGGCCAGTTTAGATAAATATAGTTAATACTATGGTTGTAGGCTGTACCCGAAACAGATATTTTATATTTAGGGTCGGTGTACTTATTACTATTTTATATAAACACTAATAAAAAAAAATTAACTTGCAGATAAGTCGCTATCCGACTTCAGGTGCAAGTAAATTTTTTTCTATTGTATTTTGTTTTTCAATAATTATTTATTAAATTCAAGAAAAGAAAAAGTACGGTTTAAGCGCTGTTAAAGTTATGAAAAATTTTGTTAAAAATTGTTAAACGAATACTCAATGTTTCACCTGAATCGATGAGGCGTTCAACTTTCAATCCAAGGAGAAACAACGAAGCTAAGAGTCTGTGTTTAATTAACGTAACTAACAAATAATAACGTTTGTCAGTTATCACAACACTTTCGCTTGTAACTCGTGCCCAGTTACGGCTGTCAGCAGCAGCTCTCTGATCGGTATTACCATTTGGGTCTCGTCGAAACGGCTAACGCCGGATATAAGCTTTTTAGAAGTACGGTATTCACACCTTCGTCCGATTTCAAAAATCACTTATGCGTTATCCATTCCGGGCATGCATAAGTCGTTAAGACCTACGAGGCGACCGGTCCGAGAGTGGTGTCCACACGCTTCCCTCGGCTTGCAGGATATTCCGTTGTATCATGACATTCGTTATCTCCAAACTGTCTAAGAGTTTGATTTAGTTTTGTATAGAGTTAAAATATTATTTTGCTCAGAATTATTATAATAATAATATTTCATTTGATTATTAAAAAGAAAATAATTCGAGATATTTCGAAATATTTTAATAATTAAGTGTAATAACAATTTTTCTTTGGCTCAAAGTCGCCGTATTATACTCCAATTATTTTTTTGTGTGACATTTGATTCTAATAAATAATTATACATAGACCGTTCAATCAAACTCAAAATAAATACAACATACACAGCATTTTATACATAATCCAAATGAAAAAAATCAAATTTTTCAGTGCACTTGATTTTTATAAATTATGGCTATTAATGAACTTCTATATGACTAAAAAATATTCCATGTAATTCTATACATAACATTTTGTGTGTCTTGTTGATGCCACTTTGCAATTATTACAAATTATCACAATTAAATTTAATATAATTCTTTTCATTAACTTCGGCCTAGAATAAATAAGTACGAAACTTTTTAAAGTGTTATTTTAATCGAATGTTTTATATAAAATCTTTTAATATTTGTGTATAAAAATATTACCCATTTTCTTCCTTATTTTTCAAAATCACTACAATTATACGTCTTATTATGTAATTAATTAAAATTTTATTTATTTTTCTCATGATCTAATCAAATCTTTGAACTCGTGGTCGCTTTAGCGCCGAACGAATTTATTCGAAGTAGGTAGTTCCAACATCGACGCCGGCGACCCGAAAATGGCAAATTCGCAAATAAAGCCCCGGCCGTGCAAATCGTAAGGGATCGTATAAATCTTGTTTTCTTCAACAATCGACGGAGGGCAAACACACCGGCAGTTGTTTTAATGCGCAAGTTACCCCCGCCCGCCCCGCCCGCGCCGCCCGCCCCGGCCCGGCTCATGGTTTATTCAAAAAGTCGCCGTCGCTCGTCCGTCCGATTGTCGCCCCGCGCGCGCAAACTTCCCCCGATACCCTATTAGTATTTCGCGAACTCGCGGAACTCCTGTTTGTGTTTCGCGTATCGGACTCCGTCGATTCGGGTCATTTGCGTACGCGCACGGGCGCAAAATGTCCGGAAGCTATTTGCTCGCCTGCCTGGACCTCCCGCCCGAGACGCCCGCCGCTTCGTTATCGATCCGAACCCGTTCTAGATATCGAAGACCGAATGTTGTCCGCGTATTTACCTTCGTAGTAACGTGACATATAACCTATTATTTTATATAACCACGAATAACGAGTCAAATGAGGCGAATGTATAAAAAAATTTGGTTGCCTGTAAAGTCGGTATACGGGCGAAAGTTTTACGTGACAACGACTTTGAATGGTAAAATCATTTTAATGTGAATATTCATTCGTATAGTAGGAAGAAGGATGAAATAATAGTAACAATTTAAAACATTTATTTATACAAAGAATTATATTTAAAACATTAATTTATACAAAGAATCTCGCACTGAATTTCATATTAACAAAATTTTATTTTTACCTTTACACATACATACGTATTTATATACAAATATACATACAATAACTTGCAATACATTTGCAAGCTATGCACTAATTCTCTAGTGCTGCGCGCGGCAGACCGATCATAGTTGAGTGGGAGAGAGACGCAAGGCATTCGGCGGGCCTCTCTCTCGTTCGGTGACTCATCGTTACGTTACCGAGCGTTACACTTTTTCAAAGTGACTCCCAGCCGCAACCTAATTTAAGACGTTGTCACGTCAAAAAAGATAGTAATTCCTATAATAATCGGTAATAAACTGTTAATGAAAGCTTTATACAACGCTGTAAGAAGGAAATTTATAGCTGCTTATTAAATTGTTGAAACCGATTAAGGGTTTCTTTCATTTCACTCTGATAACCTTCTGATATTTGTTTTATTCTATTTTATACATTTCTTAACTTGCTTTACTTTTGTCAAGGCAGAATATTTCAGTGATCAATTCAACAGCTTAAGTCAGTACGTCCATCCGACCAACGATACTAAATGTAGTTTTTCTTTTATTTTTATTTGTTTTATAATATATTATTTCTCTTATATACAAAACACTGTCTTATATTATCATTAGATTGCACGCTATCCATCAACTTATAAGTGTACCATTGCAAAGTACAAACCTCGATTCGAACTTGATATATTGAAACCATAAATTTTTGCATCGCAGCCAATAACCGATCTATGAAGGGCATGTAAGACAAGTGACCAACTTTATTGTCAGTCGCTGTGTGTTTCTCGACTAAGCTTAAAAATTGGCACGAAACCAGTACGTATTTTCTAAAGCGTTAAGCTGTTTGTGATGAAGCAAATTAATTAAAGCGATCACCTTAGTGCTTTACCAAGCCGTTACCGCCGGAAGCAAAGTCCTTTTTTGTTGCACAGTCATTTGAAGTTGACATTTAATGCGCTAAGTGCATTTCCGTTAGTAATTTAACTCTAAATCGATTTCGATAAATACATAAAATTCAAACGAACGAAAGCCGTGCGAAAGGGTTTCAAACGAAACTGTGCAGAACTTATTTATTATTTAAAACAAGCGACCCCAAATAGTTTTAATACTGAAATGGGAGCGAGGGCGCACGACAAAGCGCGCGCGCTCGTATTACGCGGGTCATACCGCCATTGTCGGCGGAGACTTCAATTCCGAGAGTCTCGCGGTACCCGCTGACAATGGCTTGTTTTTTTTTTTCCTTTTTAATCACGACATCAGAAAAGTATGAAAAAATTCAATGCGCCGCTATGGGTGTTGTAATTTACTGTTTTGTTTCGATGGAAACGTGTTTTGCTTTTTTTTTTAGATAAACATTCTGATGAATAATTAAATTTTTTGTCTACCTTCTGTTACATTAACGTTTATTCGTATTATTTTTATTCGTATTTGAAACAATTTATCACAAAATTTGATGTTTATATTATTAGTTGATTTAATAGGGACCACCTAATTTTTAGGACTTTGTGAATCCGAATGAAAAAAAATACGCAACCCTTATAGGATCATTTGTGTGTCTGTCTGTCTGTCTATCACAGTGGATTTACTCTGAATCTTCTGTACCGATTATATAGGGGTCATTTTGGGGCCTAAATTAGACAGTTTAAATAAAGTTTTTCAAACTGTATTATGTGGCATGTCTGCATATCCAAGGAATGCGCTTATTGTGAGGAACTCGAATATATATTTTTGAAACGAAGTTCCTCATTGCACGTTACACTCAGCCGCCCGTCGAATGGGAGCAACACGAAAAAAAGTATAACCGCAATGATGAATGCTGCTGACTGCTGTTGCTTTAGTTATTTTTTTTATAAATTTTTTTGCTAACGTCTTCGTTTTGCTAACGTTCTCGTCCGATCACACGAAGTTAAGCAGCGTCGGGAGGGGTCAGTACTTGGATGGGTGATCGCCTGGGAACACCGCGTGATGTTGGCTTTTTTCGGTGTTGCATTATTTTTATGTTACTTTATAATAAAATGCCCATTACGTTTTTTATTATAATATTTTATTGCCATTCCCTCATTCTTTTTGTTGTATATTTCGTTTCACTATTTTCAAAGGAAGTTAAATTATATCATGGTGCTTGGATAAAACTTATAATTCCCTTCTTAAATTATTTAATGAAACTCTTGGATTGTTTCAGTTTTGGAGAGTATTCGATTTTAAATTCTTATTAAATAAATACTTTTACAATTATGTGAAACTGATATCTATTAATAATTACATAATTCTATGCTCGTAAATGTGTAAATTGACAAAGTTACAAAGTTTTTAATAAGTACCCATGGCGCTGTTTAGTGCCTTTTTTATAATTTTAATAATTAATAAAAAAAAAATTTACTACCTACGAATATTTTCTACCACTTATTCATTTATATTATTATTATTATTTATTTAATTACATTCAAGCTTTTTAATTGATTCTTGTTATTACACAATTCATAAAATTTGTTTACATACAACGAAAGAAATTTCGTTCCAATCAGGTGTCCCAAGCACACTTTATGAGTAGGTTTTTGACGTGATAACGCCTTATAAATCGATGAATGTCGGCTGCGCGCACGAAGAAGCATGACTCATTGTCGCGTTCCGCCTGAGCCGAGCGTGCGAGTAGAAAAGAAACAGTGGCCGCACACAACCTACGCGTGAATTGTTTTGTCAACTGTTTAGAAAATGAAGTGAAAAGTTAATATAGTTTCCATTGTTTATTACAACAATAATACGACAAGTGATAATAATTCAATTCAATTCATAAAAGTATGCAATTTTTCATCAACGTTTTCTTATGACGCTATCACGTAAAGTTATCGCTCGTAAACCGACTTTACAGAATATCAATTTTTTTAAATAATTTTTTTTTATAAAGATATTTTAAAGCTATTTAAGAGAATAAATGAAAATTTACCATACGCCCTTATCTCCGAAAAAAAAAAAAATTTTTCTTTACTTGTGATGACGAGAAACCTATAAGCAGTCTCTAACTTGCTTTGTGTCGGTAACTTTCAATGACCAGCGTAAATTGACAAGCACTAAATACGTGGGTGCATACTTAGTGCTATCAGTTTACATCCGTTATTTTTGCTCTATCATAAAATCAGTAGCGTATACTTGCGTCGAATTAGGTACGATTATAGTGCAAACTTAAGAAAATCAATAAATAAAAATCAGCCCAGTTTGGATGAAGTTCAACCGAAAAATCTGCAAATAAATGAGTGAAAATAATTTCTTTTGAGTATTTAACATAAATATGCTGTGTTCTAATACGGAATCCGCGGTACACGAGTCTGACTCGCACTTGGCTGCTTTTTCACGGACGTTGGGACTGGCGCTATGTTTCATTTAATGTGTTGCGCTATGAATTGATAAATGCAGTTTTTCTAATAAATGCTTGACGGATCATTTCGATGACGATAGAAGGAACGTTTTCAGAAAATAATATATTCAGTTATTTAATGCGACAAAGCCATGCTGTGGCTAACATAGTTACAATATAAAAACAGTCACAATCGGCCGGTGAAAAACGACAACCTCACATAATACTACCTTGAAGTAAGAGTTTTCGTTATTGTTTTGTTTCGTCCAGTTCCGATAGTCTATTCCCCCCTATCACAGATATTCTATCCCTTTTTGAAAGTTTCGGTGATCAACTTCTCACTTTTATTAGATTTTCTCTATTTTTTTCCTAAAAGACCGACAACACCGACTTGTGCCTTCTCTGAGGATGCGAGTGTCCATGGGCGGCGGTGATCACCCACTTTCTGGTAACTCACATGCTCGTTTGCTTCTTAATATTTTTTAAAAATTTCATATTTTTGTAATGAATTTGGAGACGGATTTTTATCTAGTTTTTGAAATAAAATTATGACCCTCATCGTGGGTCGGTCCGACGCTGGAACTACTATTGCAGGCGTTCTCCTTGTCGAAGTTGAAAATGAAAGTTGACGAACCTTCAAAATAACTGAATACATTACCAGTCTCACATTCGTAAGCGAATACAATCAATCATATTCATTCCGATATGGTATCTTTTAAAATTCGCCAATATCCGATACATCTTCCCGAGCTTTTAAATTCATCCCGATTCGACGCACTGACGACGTTACAAACTTTTTATAGGAGCCATCCGAGCACCAGAGAGCGCCCGCCGGCGGGCGGCCGCTCCTTTACGGCGTATTAACATAATTTCATATATTATTTAAGTGGCAGATCCCACGGCCCCGCCCTCTGCATAACCTTACAACTTTTGCGGAACTCCCCCGACCTGAATACTAATCTTCCCCGAGACGTCCTCGATTATGTCCCGTGTTCGTTATCTCGTTGTAGATTGTGTTTCAGTTTTTTTCGCCGTGTTCCTCTCTCTTCTTCTTCGACTTGTATTAATTTGACGAAAAAAAAATTGCAAAAATATCAGGTTTAAGTCAGCATAGTTTGTACGTATTTAGAAAAAAAGAGGAGAAACAATATCCTATCATGATTGAATTAATCTAAAGTTACGACCATTATAGTGCGGTTAACCTTACCATCTGTACTAATATTATAAACGCGAAAGTTTATAAGGATGGTTGTTTGTTGCTCTTTCACGCAAAAACTACTGAATGGATTTCGAGGACACTGTACAGTAATATATAGCTTACACAGCAGAACAACACATAGGCTATAATTTATGAAGACATAGCTTGAATTATCCAAAATATAACGATAAGTGTCAAGTAAGCAGGAAAAAATCTGTCATCTGCGAGCTATTCTGGCGTGCGCCGCAAAAACCGTTGGAATTACACGTGTATAATGTACAATGGAAATGTTTATCTTAAATAGTCCTACAAAAAGGCCCGCGACAGCATATATCTATCTTTTATGTGTAAGCCATTATTGCCAAAATAGTGTACCATTAATGTAATAATAGTTGATAACGCACATTTGGTGGTAACTAATTACTCCTTATATCAAAATAAATACTTTTATCCCATCTGGCGTTTAAAGTACATAAACTTTGTCTTTTACACTACATCATTTGGACAAATATTTGAATAGTTATGACGATAGACAAGCGAGTGCGCGATAATACGGTGCGGTGCGGCGACAGGGTCAGACCATAAAGGTAGCAGGCGTACATTTGAGCACGCAATGTTTTTCCCACGGCTAGCTCTGTGTGGCTTGCTCACGCGTTTCTAAATCGCAAAATCTGCATGCTTATACAGACCGAAATAAATCGCTTAACATAGTTTATAAGAGTATATTACAATAGCCACCTATAACTTTTGCATTACCATCAATCATCTTATACTTCCGTACCTATCTATCCTTACAAACTATAGCGTTTATAATACCTATAATACGTATTAGTGAGATCATCATAAAAAATAATTAGTTCCAATTTACATACATTACACAATATAATTGTTCGAACACTTATAACAGGAGAATAGCTGGACCGATTTTCATTTTTAATTTGTTGGATTTTTCACCGTCCCCAATAGCAATATAATAGAAAAACATTGAAAATTTAACAAAAAAATAAAATACTTTTCATCGCCATTATCATTATTTTCCTTCACCACGCGGGTGAAACCGCGGGGTACAGCTAGTATATAATAAAATTGATGTCTATTTTTTTATTTCTCCGGCCTAATTTACGAATTGGTTAAATTGGTTGTAATGAAATAAGCAGATTTCTCGTATAATACATAAGATACTTTTCACAAAAAAATGCATATACCCGAAAAATATCAGCGATGTTCAAGGTTAGCGAAATAAAAGTTGCGAGGGATCGGCATTGGAAATTATCCCATTGCTCCTCAGAGCAGAGATCGAAATCGAGAACTAAATCGGGTCAGAAATAACATTGCTGAATATTAATTTAGGTATAGAGAAGCGGACTGGAAACGGTTAGTTATAATAGTAAAGTTGAATAATCGTTGTAGTAAGCGCGTTCTGAATACGAATGTGGTAGTTGTGTTTGGACAACTCATGTATCATGCATTTCTGGGTATGTGCACCTCTAAGAAGAGTTCATTGGACCACGAAACCTTGGGCTGTTCCAATCCGGTTGGAAACTTCATAGGTTTTAATGATTTGGCGTATAGGTGTCACCACGATATTTTTGGCCCCCGAAGCGACTATAAGTGATATCTTAAACATTCTCCTAATGAAAACATCTCTTGTGCGGACCACTAAGGACCAAACTCGTATCCTCTGTGTTCATACGGACGCTGTAATTTCTGAGCTATAAATCGTAATATTGTATTTCATAACGTATCCCGCTAAATGAATCTATGACATGTTTGTAACAATTCTTAATAACTGGATACGCTTAGATGTACGCTAGATACTCAAACGAATTGTTTTGTTCCTTTCTGGTCCCATTTACTTTATTCCCCGCAGTATGTGTGGTAAAAGTATCTCACGACAATTGCGTTTGGCTGTCCATAATGGAGTTCCAAACCCTAGTTGGATTTGACAAAAGAAACGTGAAACTAGAATTAATGCAATTGGAACGAGATCTCTTTGTAATATGTGTGGAGTGTCTTTCAAACTTAAATACAATGTCGTCCGGCATAATAATTATATCAGGCGATGGTGAAGTTTAAAAAAAAAGATTGTAATTACTAGACAAAAAAATGGCTTGTCATGATGATCTGGAAAGGATGAATGAAAATACCATTGGTAAAATTAAATAGCGAGTGTATGCAATTGAAGGATTGGAAAGGATTGTCATAGAGAATCTTATTCAGACCGTATTGGTAGCACATTGAAGAGGGACCAAATTTCAAGCACTCAAAATCGACGAGCTTGCATGGAACGATTTATACATGGGAATGAAACGAGAAAGGTATGCAAGATTGAGCCACGTGGAAGTTTATGGTCTCTACTTACCCTTCTGGGAAACACGTATGACTTTATATAATAATTAAACATGAAAATAAAAAACTG